AGGCGAGAGGTGCAAGGCATTAAGCTACTGGAGTAGAAGAGACGGCTACATTTAGGAGTTTCGACAGTGAAGGGGTGAGAGCGGGATGCCAGCCTCGTCGGGCGCTTGAACTCATGAAGTCTGGGAACCAGCGAATGCAGCTCCTCGGAGCAATTGCCATGAAAGTATTTGTAAAACAGACAGAGAGAGGCGACGGCGCGTCTGTGAGAAAGTGACTGTAGACGAGATGCCAGAACAGGGCCAATTATATTGCATATCCGCCTCTGGAGTCTATCAAGAACCCCGAGGCAAACAGAAGGGGCTCCAGACCATATATGGCAGCAATACTCCATGCAAGGGCGAATTGTGGATTTGTAGATCTGGAGGATCGACTCCGGGGCTAATGAGAAAAGCAAATTTGCAGCGCTGAAAATTATAATGTAAATATAAGGTAAAAATACAGCAACAGAAAAGCTATAAATAATAAAAGTATCCGGTAATATTTGCAAAGATAAGCGATACAAGATCACTTCTTGTTGGAAGCTTATTATATATTTCCAACGCGCATTGTAAGTAAGAAGCACAAATCAAGAGGACATTTTGTTTTTCACAACGATCTTCACTCTGTACAACACCCAAGAGCCACTTGAGGTAGAGAATTACAGCGTAGATGACAGAGTGTACAGGGATAGTTGGGGAAGATAGTAGTTAACCATAGATTTTAACAGGTTGAGATTGTAGTGATCGAGGAAGCATCCTCTTGGGAGTTGATTTCACAAATGAAACGAAGGTGTGACAAAAAATTATGAGCCAGAATAAGAAGGTATTAGAAAAATAAAGTTTGTCAGATTTTAGGAAGTGGTCTGAGACGTGAGTTTTCCATTATTGTAAAAAAAAAAAAATCTTCATCTAAGTAATCAGAATACAACGATCGAATGGCGAAAAGTTCTCTGCGTGTCCCACTTCGCAAAACCAGTATTTTCCTGTTTTGTCGTTCAAATATTGATTTGGAAAAGTTAATCGGACAGAGAACTTTTAACACTTTTTCGTATTACAGATTCTTTTTTTTTTCATTTTTTAAAAATTATTTTTATTTTCAATTTTTCAATTTTTTTCATTTCCGTTATAGTCATTAAAGTTCTACTTATTTTTCACTCTTCCAAAGTTTATATGTCGCTCATTCATCCGTTTCTTTTTCATAATCTAAATTCATTCTTTCCTCTTCTCATATTTTTCATCTCCCTCGTTCCTCTTTCCTTCTCATTTTTCATTATCTAAACTCATTCTTTATATTTCCTATTATCCTCATTCCACTTTCCTTTTCATTTTTTTTTTATTATTCAAGCCCATTATTTCGTTTTTCATTTTTTTCATTTTTCATCTCAATCATTCCTTTTTATTATTCATTTTGTATAATCCGAACCCATTCTTTTCTCCTTCATTTCTTATTTTTGATTTTTCTCCATTCTATTTTCCTTTTTCATTATCTAAACTCATTCTTCTCTCATTCTTGCTTTCTCATTTTTCATCTGACTCATTCATTTTTACTTTTCCTTTTTCATTACCTAAACTCACTTTTCCCTCTTTCCTCTTCATCTCGCTCATTCCTTTTTTTCTTTTCTTTTTTATTATTTATACTCATCCTTCCCTCTTTTTTTTTCATTTTTTTCTCGCTCATTCCTTTTTCCATTTCTTTTTCATTATCTAAATTAATTTTCATTTTTCGTTTGGATCTTTCTTCTTTTCTTTTCATTTTTATAAGATAAACTCAGTATTCCCTCTTTCTCTTTTATCTTTCATTCCACGCATTCTTTTTTTTCTTTTTCTTTCCTTATCTAACTCCTTCTTCTTTCTCATTTTTCTTTTATATTTTTCTTTTTCTATCATCGTTAATTATCTAAATTCTTCCTACTCTCTTCATCTTCTTCCTTCCTTCCTTCTTTCCTTCCTTCCTTCCTTCCTTCCTTCCTTCCTTCCTTCCTTCCTTCCTTCCTTCCTAGTTTTATTTCTTTCTTTCTTCTTCACTAATATGTCTTCTTTCTCTACCCTCTTAATTCTTAGCTTCATACGTTTCCATTTTCATTCTTTTTTCTTTTCCTTTTTCATTTCTTCTTCTTCTTCTTCTTCTTCTCTATATAATACTCATTATATTTTTCTACTCCTTTCATTTTCACCTCCTCCTTTTTCTTCCTTTTGAAGGTGTAATCAGAGGCCATTGTAGCTACAATGGTCTCCTATTAAAACGCCACTCTGCCGCCATACGTAATTCCTGATTATTCGCAGCAAAAGAAACTCTGCAACAACCATTTTCGATTCCACAATCACTGCCAAAGACATTGGTCCCACCCTCTTCAAGCAGCAGATACTAATTGCCTTTATTCAAGCGCTTAGAAACAAGTATGAAATTCCAGATTGACTTCTGACGAAAACTTTCACCTTGGAAGACAGTTCTTTGTAAAATCCCGATTTTTCTTTTAATATTTCGATTTTTTTTTTCGGCAGTTTCATCCGGCAAAGTGATCAGAAAATTCAAATATTAATCAAAATCGTAGTTTATGAATTTAAAGTCGAATTTAATTTTCTCAACTTATTTTAAAAGTTGTGTGAAAATAAAAAATAAATGAAAATTGTTAATCATTTGTAATATTTAGAACTAGAAGATTACTTCAAAATACAGACATTTCTTCTGAGTTAATGGAGAAATTTGATTCAACTTTTTACTTTTATAGAATTTTGTTTAACGTTTGAAATTATTATTTTGCTTTCGATATCAAGTTAATCAGAAAATGAACGAGCAACACAATATGCTAATAAACATATACGAAATACACCCTTTGTGTTGATGGAGACGTATTTTCTGTTCTGAAGCCTAATTGACCACAGGTACAACGTCGCAGGAGCATTTGCTACTCTATCGCTATTTCCATGGCAAATGTTCAAATGAGCTTCAATCTTTAGTTGCACTAGTCCCGGAATTTACAGCTATGATCTACCATTTTATGTTCACGGAATCGCACTCATTTCCTCTGTATTCCAACTATATACAGAAAGTTCTCCCGTATGGAAGACGCCTTGAACAATTAAGTCTTAAACCTCATCAAGTCATTTGTTATAAATCCATCTTATCCTCATAATTTTCACTTCCGACGAACTTTTCTGACATTAATATCACACACCTCTGCAGTCACCCTCTACCTCGGGTGGTTCTCGAGCGTAGGTGAACTTCAGTATAGAAAGCACTTTACAAAAAATAATGGTAATATTAGCCGTTTCCATATATATGGAAACATTTGACATTCATTGAAATTTATAAAATCTTTATATCAAACCCGTTTCTCAGGATTATAACCTTCTGAAATCCACAGGCTGTTATCTCTATTTCCTGTACTAATGGGAGTTTCCTTTCTAACCTTCTGTTTGAAGTAGTATGGAAGTTCAGCATAATTATGTCATTATTTTTTCATCGATTTTCTTTTTCAATCATTTCACCTCAATAAAGCCACTAAAAGGCAATTGTTTACTGAAGGAAAAAGAATTACTGAAATACTAAATTACTAAATACTAAATAAAAGAACAGGAATTAAGGATTTAAATTCTTGAAGATTAAAGTTGACTGGAAAGGACAAAGCAGGGAAAGAGCTTCACAAACGAGAGGTGGGGGAGAAGAATCTGTTAGCGCTTAAGAAAAGCTCATCAGAACAATTACCATGAAAATATTTATAGAAAATATATAGTTGCATCAATGTATAACAGTGGTTCTATCATTTGGTGCAATTATTGTGATTGTGTAGGTTTTGTTCCACACAGTGACCTACCTTTGTCAGGGTCGTCTGACATGTATCTTGTGAAGTCCAATGCATTTAGCTGATAACTGTTAAATCTTTTACTTATTCCTACATCCAAACAGTTTGCGGAAGCATATCGAAAATGATGATGTAGCCATGTAGCTGATATATCTTCTACCATTACGGCTAACGATTACGAATGATCTCACTTAGAACGATTATATATAAAGCTGCGCGCACAATATAGCAGTTCTTGTTTCGACAGAACTCAATAATCATCGTCAGAACTCTTTAGACCTGAAGGCATGCTTGCAAATCAATGTGGTCTCTTATCTTCATCATGGCTACATGTTTCCGATCTTGCTCATCTGCTCAGACCCATTTCTGTTTCTTCTTCACCGACAAAGACAAGCTTTGGTTTATACAGCAACTATGCTGAGCGGACCCTAGTCACATTTCAACTGTGTGCTCCACGAGGGTCACACATGGTTTTGAATTCAGCGTTTTCCTTCTATACGATTTGTCGACCACGGCTAGAGCGTCCAGCATTCCCTGCTATTTAATCTATAGCTGGGAGTAAAACGAGCAATGGGACAACATTTCCTGAAAGAACTGTGTAGGATAACACCACTCATTGAAAACCTAATGAGTTACATTCATTAGGGGCAATAGTTCAGACATTTACAGCTAAAATCCAGAATCGAGTTGGTCAATTCGTATATCTTAATGGCGTAGACGTTTCTAATGATGTCAGAAAAGGTTTGAACTTATTTGCTTTTTGATATTGAAGCGTAAATTTACCAAAGCCCTGTTCTAGCAGGGCGCTCTACACAGGGATTAACTATCCTCAGTGCGTTAAAAAGTACACTCTTAGGGTCAATCTTTCATGCCTGAAACCTTCAGCATTGAATGAAATGGAAATGGAATTCCAATTTTATATACGGCCCTATGCTATATATTGTGCTCAAATGAACACACAGATAAATACTTAAATAAATTTAAATGATAATAATAATAATAGAACTAGATTTTGCCACAAAGATTAGGAAACTGGAAAAACAGGAAGCCTTTAAAGACCTAGGTGTCAGCGAAGGAGATGGAATACATCATATCCAAATGAAAGAGAAACTAAGAAAATAACACAATAGGCGTCTGGCGTTAAATAGCGAAAGGAATTCTCAAAAACATAATATCAGCCATAAACACTTTGGCTGTCTTTGAGGGGCAATAAATTTTCACCATCTCTAATTGAACCATAGCTGACGTTAAGCAAATGGATGTCAAAACGAGAAAGCTTCTCAGTTGCCACCGCATGCATCGTCCTAAGGCTGATGTTGATCGTCTGTATGTATCCAGATCCAAAGTTGGCAGAGGATTAGTTCAACTAGAAATGCGTTACAACGCCACAAAAATCGTTCTTCAAAGATACCTGGAAAGTAGAAAAGAATGGATGTTTATCTGTGTCAAAAAAACATGAAAGAAATAAGAAATTTTATCTCTATCTATAAAAGGCAGGATGTATGTGTGCGTGTAACGAATGCACGGCCGCAATTTTCGACGGATTTGCACCAAAATTCACATGCACATGCTTTAAGTTAGCGGGAAGGCCAACTCCCATCGATACTGGAAATAATCGATTTTTTCATGCTTCTACGACAGTTTTCATGTAGTTTGCGGCCATTTTGTACTGGCCAGAGTGAGAGTCTATAGATGGCTGCACGAATAGGCAGGAAGATTATATTGGCCAGCGTGAGAGCAAACAGTTGACTGACACGAATGTTAACTAGCATGTTAGCATGCAAAAAGAAAATCGATAGATGCATTCGTCACAAGAGGGGGAAAAATTTAAATCTGCATGGCACTTTACTCCAATTGGCTCAATCGCTTGCTTAAACTCAACGTTGATTCTGATTGCGAAGAACTGGGTTGGGTGTGAAAAAGTATTTGTTGTAAACATTCTTTTTTTCATTCGGTTTTTCCAGTTACGAATCCTTTTTAAAGCTGATAGTTTTGTGTTCATTTTGTTTAATTCTTTTTTCGTAACAGATTTAATGCTTAGTATAGAGCTTAGAAAAAATTGGCAGTGTGAGATAAGCAAGAAGTAAGGCATGTAGCAACATCAGCACGACAAAGGGAACTCCTTTAAAGGCAAGGAAGGGCAAAAATATTTTAAGTCAAGTGATAGCGATTGGTGTATGAGTCGTACGATTTTTGAATCAAGCACGGGCAACGCCGGGCCATGCTGCTAGTTCTATAATAAAGGAAGCCAACAAATTCAAAGGGAATTTTAAGTGGGTGAAGAAGTGCAAATAAACCATAATGCACCTATTGCAGCTGCAAAAAAACTAAAAAGAAAGCAACAGCAAATGCTATATAGCGAAAGCAGAAACGATGGCAACATAAGCTTCTTCATGGAAAATACTCTGCCTGTACCAAATAAGCTGACGTAGACAAACCTTGTACTTATTTATCATTGGTTACGTAGTGCAGGATTAAAAGCTGAAACTGAAGGTTTTATTCTTGCATCACAGGACTAATGCTTGCTAACTAGAAAATAGTAAGCACACTTACTGAAAAAATTATGTTAGCCCAAAATGATCATCTTGTATCAGGTTGCACGGTATTGGCACCCACTGAATATAAAACCCGGCATGACAGTGTGGGCCAATATCTGCATTGGAAAATATGCAAATTGCACGGAAACTGCAAGAAATTGGCATGAACGCTAACCAGACTCGGTTAAAGAGATAGGACTTGTATTAATTTTATGTGACTTCACAATACACACAAATTGAACAATCAAAACTAAACGCCCTGACATCGTGATCAAAGACCACACAAACAGAATATGCCTTCTTATTCACATGGCAGTACCTGCAGATTGTAATGTATCTTTGCAGATCTTCAAAAAATTATAAAGAAATCGAAATCTCAAAAATATATCATGTGAGGACATCAGCAATTCCAGTTGTAGTTGGAGCCCTCGGTTTGAATGGAAAAGTTCCGACACTCATTGAAGGGATTCCTGGTAGCACATACCTTATAAAGACATTTAAAAGATTTTACTCACAAATACAGCTCTCACATAACGAAGGGCTTGTTTTTTTTTTAATTACACAGTGGTAAATGTCATCGTGCCATTTCTGACCTTCGTTCTCTGGTTGGAAGACGAAAAGAAATGTGTGTACAAGAGAAATTGAAGGCAGAATAAATAATAATAATAATATTAGTAATAATATTCAATAAATCAATAATGTCCAATGGAAGTACCTAATTTGTATTTTAGTGCATAAGAAGGTCAATGAGATAAGTCCATTAAACATTCATAGATTTTTGAATATATATATATATATATATATATATATATATATATATATATATATATATATATATTATCGGAGTTTTTTTCCTA